TGTAGACATAGACAGGAATTACCATTTGCAGTATATATATTATGAGAATCATAATATATATATATACTCTGTATATAGGCTCTGGTGGTGTTTTTTCTCTCGATTTAAAAAACAACTTTGGATATTAATAATACAAATAAGAGTTGCAATTTTTATTTTGTATTGATGAGATTACAAAGACTCAAAGTAAACTATACAACACGCAGACAAAATGGAAGTTTTGTTGTAGCTAACCCATCACATTTACCAATCAAATCTAACTATTGTCAGGAGTTCCTTGTTAGTAATATAATGTATTCCTCTACACCAATTTTTAAAGCTAAAGTCTACTTTTTGTGTTACAAAATACAGATCTGTCAGGACATGTGGTATGCTTGAAACATAATGGCCAACATTTCAGTAAGATCACCATAGATTTGCATTTATGCATAACGAAAGACAGGAATAAAACAATTAAAAATGTCTTTAAATATTTTGCATGGGTAGCGTGTGTGTACAATATACTATATATAGTATATGTGTATCCAGGCTTTTGTTTTGATCAAGAAACTTTTTTTGCTGTATTTTACTATAAAACGATACATGGATGTCAGAAAACAATGTAGAAATAGCCCAATAATTATAGTTATAAATACATTTTTTATCTACTGTACATTAGGATAACACAGTATAAAGAAGTATGCTGTTAAATACACTTGGGTTAAAATATTTTTACTTAATTTGTTAAGGGTATCTAAATTTCTCCTCAAAACTATAAATAAATTTCAGAACAGGCTGGGCCAAGCTTCACATCTTTGTACAACCATGTTTAAACAGAATGTTCACAAACACATTTCCCCACCGTTTCTGTGGCGAGTGTTTAAACAAGAAGGCAGTGTTTGAAATAAGAAAATAAACTGTTTCTTTTATCATGTTTGACCCATTCCACCTGGCATTCATCAGCACTGGTGTTGTCTGCTCATCCTGTCAGCTGCTCTTTCTTGGTACCTCCTTTATCACTCTAATGGGGTGCTATCTCTAAGTTTCTTTGCATGTCTTTCTACCGCTTGCTGCAGTGCATTTTTTCTCCATATCCACAGTGACAATGAGGCGGATTTAACACATAATTATGAGAGAGGGACGGGGGTTAATCTTGAGTGAGTGCTTCAAAAATTCTTCTTTACCGAAGTTGGTAACGATTGTTGTGCCTCTCGATTTGCCATATTTCAGGAGCTAAATCAACTGAAGCCAAAAAAGTTAGAAATCTGATATTAGTCTTTCATCCCCATGGACTCTAGATTCTGTCTGCACTTGATGGTCTACAAAGATACCCACTTGATTTCATTTAAAGGTTAATGGGAGGGTGGCTTTTTCAAATTTTGCAAGTTCAAAAATGAAAAGTTGCAGTTGACTGTAGGTTATGGTAATACTAGCTTCAAGGCTTCTAGTAAAATCTAATCTGTCTATCAAAGTACTACTTTAACGAAAGAAAAACAGTTTCAGTGTCATGGCGTCACACATGGACATTAGTAATAATTATCAACTCAGCCACAGCTAAAGGAAATGGTATGTCAGACTGTCACAAAATGTCGGCTTCGGTTTTGAATCTCATCCATCTCTCTGTTTTTTGGCTTTTCTTCAGATTGTCATTTAATCACCAAACATTTTAAGCACTTGGATACAATTCAAGAATGTTAAGTAGCTGAGTAGAAAACTAGTGTCTACAACTAATAAGAATATTTTTGTCCCAATGAGATTGAATTCCTTTGTTTTACCAAAAGCACTACAATGAGCATTGTGACTGAAATGTTTTCAGGAATATGAGCCAAGTGTCATTCTTCACTTAACTCCAGAGCTATTTCTGTAATATCAATTCTATATGTTAAACAGAGCTGACTAACAACTACTGTGTTCTTTTTCTGAAAATTAAAGTCCAACCACTGCATGGCAAATTACAGGTGCAAGCGTTCTGTGCTTATCTTTGAAGAGAACTTGCAAAAGCTTTGTTTTAATCTTTATACCTATTGAACCCCAACTTGCTTTTCTTCTAAAAAGGAAGAGAAGGGAGTGACTCTATACTGTATGTATTGTTGTAGTTGTTGACTCTAGTGCAGGGTTTTCTGTTTCATGGGGATCACATGTATATACATAAAACATATTAACAGGTTTGAGTTTAGCAAGCTTGTGCATGTATAGTTTTCTGTGGTAAAAAGGCATGTTCTAGCAATGTAGCTATGGGTGTACCAATATGATTCTGACATCTACAAGACTTGCTACATAAACGCAGTTGCTCAATGTTTTTTCAGGGTAGTGATAGGAAGAAGTGACAAGAAAAGTAGGAAAGAGTCCATTAAAAATATAATATACTGTGTAAGTGAAAGTGTGTTTGGGTAATGGAGCCAAGTAAGGGAATATTGCTAGCCAACAGCAATTACTTTGCTTGGATTGGAATGTATTCACTGGTTTGCCATGTTTATATATGTCACTCACATTAAAGCTGGAATAGCAGTGAAATGAGTTTGGTTGTGCAATTGTTACCCATTCCTTGGACGTTTTTGATTTGAAGAAATTTGTAGCCTTGTTAGCTTCTGGGAATCATATAAATGCTTCAGAAAACGCTGACATTTGTCTGACACATTAATAAATAAAGTTTGATCAGTAAAGGTAAAATATACTAGGCATACTGTTTTGCATATGAATGAAAATGAGGGGGATTTTTTTTGTTTATTAGACTTGCAGAATACTGTTTGCTTTGTGTCTACGTAAATTAGGACTGCTTTAAGTAATTGTTGTAAGGCTGAAGGTGGTGCTTTTAAGTTATGGCAAGGAACCAAATTTGGAATCAAATTGTAGTTCCCAAAGCTCATAAGCATTTGAAACCTTTAAAAACAAAAGAAAGTTTGTGCAATCTCTTAGAGTTAAGAAGGCACCTATGTCACAGTGCTATATCCATCACATTGGAAGACCTAATTCTGTGACTTGGACTTGGGCATAATTATAATCAGATCCAAAATCACTGATTAGGGTCAAAATCAATTATATTTGCTTATTATTAAATTATACACATACTGTATATATGAACATGTACTGTATCAGATTACAGGTATGCTCAACACATTTCTGAGGATGGGAAAATATTAGCAGACCCTTATAGAAGTTGTAGTGTTGTTCACGATCTTACAATACAGACATTTTCCATGTTTTTTGGTCATATTGATTCAGAATAGAGAATTATATAGATTCCACCACAGTCTCCTTCTGACCACTTGGTTGCACAGAAAAATGTTAAATAAGTTTAAGAATTTTTATTATTTTTATTTAAGAATTTAAATAGGATGAGAGTAAACTCTTATGAGAATGAAAATGAATCACTGAAACAAAAGTTCTCATTTTTTCTTTATAATCACATTATTAGGCATATACTGTATATAATGGTTCAGTTACCTTCAATGAAAGATGACTTGTTTATTAAATGGCTTGAGATTTGGGAATATATTCATTTATGTTTTGCTATTTTAAATACAAATATGGATGATAATTGCATACACATGAGGGATGAATAAACACATGTTAACTGAGTTATCAGAACTGAAAGTTCCTTTTTACTTTTTGTTATGTTGATCTGTTGCAAGTCCTGCTCCTGCAATATTTAATACGTATGACATATTCAGTATTCATTTTAAGTTTAGTGTATTATTGTGAAATTGTGGTAGAGAGTGAATAAAGGACATATTGTGTTGTAAATATACACTGATACTGAGTGAATCGTTTTACCATATATTATATCTATACAGTATATATATTGAATTGCACTGTAGAGGGAGGGAGCAAAAATGAGACTTGCTTGCATTATTTATGTTAATAGATAGGCAAGTGTGAAAGTATCATTTTAATTAAAAAAGCTGCAAAATACAAGTACGTTTGATAGTTTGACGTTATCTTTCCTTGATGTATCTAAGGGAACAATATGGATAATTTGAGGACAAGATTAACAGTTGCAGTCTGTGCTCTATCTACACATTAATTAGCATTGCATCTGTGTTAGGAGGAAGTGACTTTACTGGAGGCTTTTTAGGGTATTTGTAAATAAAGAGCATGAATAATGAGGTTATATGAGTATATTGTACTGTAATATGTCAATTCTTTCCCATTTTTGTGTTGCACAGGTGTTCTCAGCTTGGGAAGAAGCAAAAATTGTATTAATTAAATTACAGGAAGACTGTCATATTTTGTTATGATTTGCAGAAAGTCTAATGGCAACTGCTGTGTCACATGATACCTCTCTCCTGCAAGACTCTGTACCTTTCTGTCTTTTCTCTGTTCCTGTGTTTGAAAATTATAAGACATCTTAAATCAACATAGACTGAAATATGTATTGAATAACACGATTAATGTTTTTGTTCATTAATTGCATTGCATATAAATATTCAAAGGGAAGTTTTCAGAATTTGTTTTTCCTTAATTGAAAAAAAAATCATGGCAAAAAACTATTATTTAGTTTAGTTTTTTGCTGAATAGATTATGTAGCTTGTTAAGCGTCTTGCCTTGTTCTGTCTCTAATGCCTCAAGGCTGGGTTACTGTACAACGGTGCTGTTTTGAACTGCACCTTTCCTGTATTTATTAGTCAGAGATGTTGTTAGGTTGTACGCAGATCTTCCTAAGGTACACTTTTAGGCTGTTACCTCAACAGGAAAACCATACAGTGTCACCTGGCACAGATTTTGCATGGTCACAATGAAAGGTTTGCTGGGATAGTTTTCTCCACAGCTGATTTCGGCAGGTTTGAAACAGATGTCTTAAGGCAAGAACTTAGCCCTTGATTTTGCAGTCCTGTTTGTTTGTTTTCAAGAAAGGTAAATTTGACTAAAGGAGGATGGAGTGGATCTTAGGGACAGGTTTATTGGATCACCAGCTGTCCGCTGTGAACTGAAAAGTGAACACGAGACTAATTTTCTTTCTGATCCAGCACAGTTGGGGCTCGGTGTTAATTCAAGTGTAAATATGTTTCTTTCTGTTGCAGCCTGTGGCCGTGGATTCTATAAATCATCCTCCCAGGACCTGCAGTGCTCCCGCTGCCCTGCACACAGCTTCAATGACAAAGAAGGCTCTTCCCGGTGTGATTGTGAGGATGGATATTACAGAGCCATTTCAGACCCGCCATCTGTGGCATGCACAAGTGAGTGTTGTTGCTAGGAAAACAAAAGCTGGACAGAAGACAACATATTAAATAGCAGGATCTAGTCTGCTTCTCTCCTGGCAGTAAAGGCTAAAGCAAAGTATGGGGAGGGGGTTAAGTGAAGCTCTTCTCTGCACTTTGCACAGCTCAGAGTTATTTTTCACAACTCAAATCTGTGTTATTTTAGCATCTTTTTTAACGATGACGGACAGACACTTCCTTTTTTCATGATAATTAGTGGTCAAACAGTTCAGTGTTCCCCCCTGCTGAACAATCTCAATTAACAATCTCAATTAACTAAATTAAGTCCAGCAACTTCTCCAGTTTCTAGTTGTCCTGGTGAGTGTGGCAATTATGTGGAAGGCTTTGAGGATTCGTTTAAAGAGGTAAGTAGATTAGGTAGAAAGAGGGGCTCCAAAACCCATGAAATTTCTACCTTTTAGAGGTATAGCAGAAAACTTGTTGATGCATTGTTTGAGAAGTAAAGATAGGCCCTACTGAAGGGAAGCAGACACGCTATGAACTAAATCAGTGGTTTTCAAGGGTGGAGCAGGACTTCTTTAACAAGGGATTAGAAAAATGTGAGTCTTTTTTGACAGGATTATTTGCAGTTATACATTCTGGATCAGAAAGCAATCTGTCACCTGCATAAGAGGCTTTCCATTTTAATATCTGTTGATTCTCTAGGGCTGTAAGGGTTTAAATATTGAAGTGATAAATGTGGCTAAAAATATTTCCATTTAAAAAATGTATTATACATTCAAAACCGCTTACCAGTAAATATGCATTTTTGTGTTTTTTCTGCATGTTTTCCCTATAGATCTGTCTATAATTTTGACCTTTAAGCCTTGCCCCTCCATGTAGCTATATCTCCCATGTGATCAGTGATCACTCTTTAATCAATCAAAGATGACATCCAATATGTAAACATAATACCAGCACATTATCTAACAGGCTTGTACAGTCTGCGATGAAATATGATGCCATTTCCTAAGAATAAAGAAAAGCTGACTTGGGAAAAAAAAAGGAAAGTAATGTTCCATTTGTTTAAGTAATTTAGTTTATCAGGGACGTGTTAAACCTTCAGGGATGCAATGCTGAGTCATGTCTGATGTAAACATTCACAGTGTTTGGGAGGATGATCAGTACATGTGAGTCAGTTCAAGTTTCCCAGCATTTCCTTATCTATCAGACAGTTCTGTTTTGTGGGAGTATGAAGCAGTATGTCTTAACTGATGTCTGCAGTTTGTAACACGTTATACAATTCTAAAAACATTCAATTACTGTACAGGGCGGGGGCTTTCACTTATACTCCCCAGGAAAGTACCTGCCCATTGCTTCAGGGTAGACTTGGTTTCTTTTTAAAAGTGTTTTTAAAATTCATTGGGGTCTCTCTAATCAGAAGTGGAATCATGACAAGATAATCTTCAAAACCCTAAATAAGCACCATTTCCAGTGAAAATTGTGAGAAACAAGGACAAGGAAAAAAAATAGATGTTAAGTGTTGCTTTGAAGGCAGATAGTGTGACTTTAAAGCAAACCATCCTACAATCTCTTAGATATCTCTTAGAGGGCTAAAGGGCCTAATTTTCATTAAATCATTTGTCATTTGATACATGTATATTTTGCGTTTTTGCATAGAACGGGATATGTTACTATGTGTAAGTGTAAATTGTAGTCGGATGAGGCAGTTAGGCTGCAGTGTTAACTTCTTTTTAACCTTAATTTATTATCTTGAAATTGAAGATATGTGAAAGGGCAGGGGTACCTTACTCTAATCCTGGAGAGCTGCAGTCCAGCTGGTTTTACAGGGCTCATTAAATCATCAGCACCTTAAGAACTGCAAAAAGTTGTTAAACTGGTCCAGTTAAGCTAATTGGGTTATTAATAGCCAGGCTGGAATGAAAATTTACCAACCCAGTTGCCCTCCAGGGGTAGAATTGAGCACGCATGCAGTTAGGACAACAAACCAAGGTGAAAAGAGGAAGTTAAAAAAAAAAGTACAGATAAAATAATAAAACCTAAGTTTGTATCCCTGTTTAAGAAACAATAAGCAAAATAAATAAAGTTTGGTTAAGCAAATTCACTGTTTAATATTAACACACAAATATTACATTCTTAATCATCATTGCCACATAGAAGGCCTTATTCCATTATTTTTTTCCAGCTACATTATAGACTATGCAGTGCCTAAGCAATGTTGACATAAATGGAAATAACTGCAAATTTAGTCAAATGCAGAAAAGAGCTCAAATAATTTTATGAATGACAGGTCCATAACAATGACAGTTGAACTGTGTGGTGTGTTGTTCAGTTCGGAATAAATTACTTTACTAGTCCAGATTTCCATTTTATAGTTACCAAGAAAAAAAAAAACAAAAAAAAAGTTTGGGGTAATCTGGATTTCAGTAACCCATGGCAACATCAGTTATATATATAAAAAACTATTGTTTATATAATGATTCACACTTAAATTGAATAGTCTATTTACTCAGTGGTTTCTATACATATGATCTAAAAACATATGGAAAAATTGCATCAATCACATGATCACACCATCTGTTTTAAATAAAGTATTTGAATTTTTATCTGTTTTAATTATTACATAACTCAATACTTTGTTAAAAGAGTATGTTTTTCATAATTTACAATGACATTTTTTCATTACATCTAAATTCCTGTGCATACTCAATGGAGAGATTATGAATTTTATAAAAGAACGTTTCTGTTTGCAGTGTGTTACATTATACAGTAATTGGATGTGAAAAAAGAGTTCACTGAAAAAAGCAACTTGACAGTTTAATAAATAAACATTTAAAAACATAAAACCTTACACTTTGGGGGTTACGGTAAAATAAGGATCAGTCTGTATAAAAATAAGTATTTAAAGTATTAATTTTTGACTGGAGTGAAGTCTTTGCAAATACACTTAGGCGTTTATCTGTGTTTGAAAACCAGTGTTTGCTGGACAATTTGTCCAGTAGTAGGGAAATTAAAGAGTTTACATGCTTGGTGGATTATATTCTCAGATTTTATCTCCTCTATTTTGAGCCTTTTGAAATAACAACCTGTGTAACGATACCATAAATAGTTCAGATTATCTAGATTATCCAAATATGTTTTGTGGTATGTTCGCAATATATATTTCTTCAAAAAGCTAGACGTACATATATTAAATATTTTTAGTTCTGTGTGAAGTTGTTTTCACTTACTTAGGTTGTGAAATATGTTTCACCATACTACAGATTTTAGTTTTAGTATTGGAATTTTGTCTATGTACACTAGTTACATTTGCACAAGTAAAATTTAATATCAACAAAGAGGTTATTTATTGAGAACCGATCGTTTTTCCTTTGGGGTTTCAAGATGAATTGTGTCGTATTTTAGCTGTATTCTCTTACTTCAACCTTCCATGCATGTATGAAGAACAATCTCTCTGCAGACACACCCATGCGTGCCTGGCAAGACCAGTGAATATTGACATTCCTTTACTAAACATGTGTTAAAAGCCTGAGTATTTTAAATCTAAGTTCAAAATCAGCTTGTGGCATTGTTTCTTAAAGATGTGACTATTTTCTATCAATGGCCTAATTTTTGCAGACAGTAATATTAAACATTTACTCTTATAACTCAAAGAATGTTTGAATATGTGACAGAACTATTTGTTTTAATATCAAGGTATTTCTACACTTATTTTACTGTAATGCACACACTGGGTCATAAATTAACTGAAGTATGCTGGTGCAATCAGTGGTACTTTCCACTGAGGATTTGCAGCTGACTCATAAATGTGTTACATTAAAACTTCCCACTGATACAGTGTTGATGCAGGTTTTCTGTTACCACCGAACTATTACAGTAAAGTATCTAAACAACTGGATTTAAAGTAAACATAGTATTATGTGAATATGTATAGAACAAAAGAAATCATCTAAGCAATGTATTTGAGATCAGCATCAACACAGAATGTTTGAAAATCCCTCCCAGCAGGTTGCTGAAAATGTTCTAATGCTTATAATGTAAATAATAGGTCTGGAGTTAGTTAAGCATTAAGTAAAGGTTTATTTCATGCTGAAAAGAGAAGAAATGAAACAAAATGTTTCGGCTATTGAGCCTTCTTGTGACGCAGTTACGGTACCTACTTGAACTAGTTAAGCATTAGTCAAGCATTGGACGAGATATCCCACTTCATGGTTCAGATGGAACTTCTCCCTAAAGATCTTGACTATTTATTTAATAACAAATAATTTAGGTTACACTCCTGTTAACTTGGTTACAATTGTGATGTCACCTCGTATTTGAACCAACAGAATCTTTGAAGGGGCTTTGAAGCTATTGTACTACTTGAAATATTGTTTCCATAATCATTTTAAAGAAACAATGCAAGCCAATGTATGTTATTGGGTTTATTTGTGGCTCACACACAAACATGGATGAGCAGGGAACACTCCTGGTTTTGGTATAGACTTGTAAATATAAATACACTCTCCGTAACACTAATCACTTGATTTCCCTCTTTTGCCCTTACTTGACTACCTTTTTGGAGGAGCAAATGTTTGATGCTAGATTATGGATGATCAAAAGGGGATCCCACTAGAACTATTTCTATCCTATCAGAGAAGTGCAAAGCAAGAATTATACAGTCAGCCATCAGATTAGTCACTTGCATTAATTAAACAAAGATCTCATTAACTACATCCACATGGATGATATTGTTCAAACAGTATGTGGATAAGTTGATAAGAACATTGGTTAAAGGAGGATAATTTTTATGACAGCATTATTAATTTGCTAAGACCTTTGACCTGCTTTCACACATTTACATTCCTCAAAGCATTGGAATTAACTTTCCAGAATTATTGGGGGTACTTGTCCTAAAATGTTTTCACTTTAACAGAACTTTTCTTTGACCTCCCCAGTGCATTATTACTGTTATTGAAAGCTTCATACTGTTTGTAAACCGGCTGTGTTACTTTGAGCTGTGATTCTGCTAATAAAGTTATTTCTGGAGTCTTCAATGTCCAGTGAAATAGACTCTCCATGAATATGGAACACCAAAATGCATTTCGCTTTTCTTGGCAGAATTTATCATTACTCACACATATTGTGTTCATTATTTTGCTAGGAGCTTCCTAGTGTCAGTCAGATTGTTAATGCTGTGAACACAGAAGTCAAATTAAGTGCAGATACTTGGGATTGTCAGGATTTTTTATACCTCTGACTTTCCAAATTACAAATTTATCCATTTC